CTGTCGCACTTTTTAACGATCCACTTTTTTCAGTTTTTTTTTTTTTTAAATATTAATATTTATCCGTCTGTAAAAATAGAAAAAAATATCGTCGAAATGAAATGATAATTAATACATGCTTATTATTGAAAAAAAAAAAAATGTATTAATCGAAATGTATAACATTTTGAGGATATTGCAACGATTATTTATCTTTATCAAAAGGATTTGTTATTGAAATCTAAATTGCAATCCAATGTGATATCCTATATTATATATGCGTATGAGAATATATATATATATGTCTCGCACCTAAAATGAGACAGCGGGTCCGATGAATTTTCAAGACCGCTCCTGCGATTCACGTCCGCTTGTCTCGTAGCTATATTCGCGTCGCGCGCAGCTGTCAGACTCGTGACAGTTCGGAAGAGTTCGGAACGTGTCGAGCCTGAGAGATCGGAGTAAATCGCGCGGCGTACTACATATTACATTGGTACATCCATGTACGTATATACATACATACATATACATATAGTGAGCGGTGGGTGGGTGACGGTTTGTCGATGTCAGTGTGCTCGTCGCTCCTTGGAAGAAACGAGTCACGATCGGAGAGGCAGTCGTCGTCAGGTGCTCGAAAATAAAAAAGATCAGCGACCGTGTCTCGTTGACGCGGTCGAGGAAGACAAATATTATAGCGGATTGCACAGGATCGTGTAAAGATTATCCCGTCGATGACTGTTGGTTCGAACCGTTCGCCCCTTCGGTGAGTTCTTGTCGGCTCTCTATATCCGCCCGACCGGATCCACGATGAATAAATCTCTCTTTCTCTCTCTCTCTCTCTCTCTATCTATCTATCTGCTTTTCCTTTCTCTTTCGCTGACGCGGTACGTCAAATCGCGTAATCCTAACAACACACACGTTCAAAAGACGTTTTACATGTAAAACATCCTCTGGATGTCCTCTGGACGTCGTTTGAACATGTGCGTTGTTAGGGAAGCGTCCTGTAAGTAAGTATAGACCAGGTAACTTATTCCTGCGAGAAAGCTTATAACGGAGAGAAATCGTCGTGAAGATGGCAAGATTCTTTCAAGGATCGATACATCAGTGAACGGCTTCTCGTACGTTGATATCTCGGATTAGGAGGAAAAGACAGTCGTTTCGTAAGAACAGCGAGTGTGTCACGCGAACAATCCCGGATTATAAATAACAACATCATTAGGGAGAGACGGTTGGCTTCCGTTTCATGGAACCTCTTAATCGTCCGCGGCATTATTTGAAAATCAGGTAAATAAACTCATCGCTCCTTGACAGGTTCCGCGACAAGTAGCGAGAGTCGCGCGAGAAGAGAGAAGAGAGTTTTCTAAATTAGATGAATGTCAACGACTGATATGTGGCTATGAGCTAAATAACTCTTCCGGTCGGTCGATATTCCTGCGATCGATTAGATCGTATCGCGACATAACATATAAATATTTCCGAGAATTGATCGCGAGTAAAAAAAAAAAAAAAAATAATATTATTGTTGGCGCGTTAATATATCGAATGCATGAAACGTGACACTCGTGTCACGTAGCCTCGAGGCGTTTCTTTTGTACTTTTTTTTTTTTGATAGTCTTAACATCTCTCTCTCGACCTGCGTATATTCGATAACCTTGATTAATTAATTCCGACTAATTATTGATTTACTATCCCGCCCTTCTCCCTCCTCCCCTTCGCGCATTACAATTCCCATATGTAAACGAAGGAGAAATGAGTTATTAATCGCGGATGTAATTTATATATAAGTTGATTATATAATTACAATAATAAAAAGATGACCATTTATATGAGGGAAGATTTTTGTTATGTTTACATATATCGCTTCATATTTTGCTCGTTGTATAGAAGTCTATATAATATTTTTATATCGTGATGTAATCAAGTATTAATAATTCATGGTTGTAACATTAGTATGCATCTCGTTCCAATCAACTTGACGTAAACAGGTCTGTCAATTATAAAAATATTGAAATGATTTTCTTTAATATATAGGTGTGATGTAAATTACACAACGATATGAATAAACATCAAATTTGCAATCGCGAAATTCGTCCTCAACACAGGAAGTTTACATTATTACATAATGACTGGCTTAATTAACAATATAACACACGGTTTGTAATGGCGATGAATTAATACGTGCGTACATATTTTCCCACTACACAATTCTATTGATGACAATAAAATACAGAATGCTCTGATCGTATCGTTCGAAATGTGTACCTTGAATAATATGCTATTGAATTTTCTGCTCCCGCTTGCCCTATACTACTGCATTTCAATCATATTATCTTTATTCGTGTATGTGGTAATACTTTAATCGTCTATCTCGAGTGATTGCACAAAATAACCTTGCACCGACAAGAACCATTTTGTGTCAAGCATTGTCGGCTTGTTTAAAGTACATATAACGATCAACCAGATATGCGAGCAACGTAATTTGCAAATATAATTTAGCTGAGATCACTAAATAATTTGTGACAAATATAATTTGTCGTTTAATTTTATCCCGAAACATAAAAAATACATTTACATAAATAAAATTTATATTTATATAATATTAAACACATATTTTGATCGCATTAATAAAGTAATAAATTTATGTAATATTAAATTATTTTCTGGACTAATTTATTATATATATTGTAATATTAAATATTAATTTAATATATTAATATTACATACATAAGAATGATATATTAAAAATAATCAATTCGCAATTTGATCTCTTAAAAGAGAATAATTAAGAGTTTATTGTAATTTTGCATTGTGATATGACACAAAATTATGTTAAATTTTTAATCTTGTTTGAGCTTTATATTAAATTGCTATTAAAATGCTACGTGAAAGTTTGCACTTTTAAAATTTGAGATTGTTTCTCAATATTAAGCGTAACAACGTTATATATAACTAAAACCTTAACGATTGTGCGCAGACACAATTATTATGTGTGGAAAATTTAACGGTAGACACAAAAGTACATACGTCCTGTTCATTTTGTTATTTGTAAAGCTGTTCAAACTCAAGCGTATTGTTCTGTCAGCCTTGATACGTAATTTCATGATTACATCATTAAAATGGTTGTTCACAGCGTCAAGTGCGTAAGCGTGTATCATTGTATAATACTCGTTCTCGGATCGGTCTGGTTAAGAATATTAATGCGATTTTTCTAGTCATGATTATTTGCGAGATTTACATTTCGTCACTTATGTACTATACTGACGTTTATTTATCGCCAACGTGTCGATTAAGTCATTATATAGTGTGACAAGAAGACGCAATCGCACATGATATTAATTGTGCAATTTATCAAGTACTGTATCGCGTTCTTTATTATGGAATTATAAACTTATCTAGCGAAGTTTTACTAAATCGATCAACTTTGTATTTCGATCCAAAACTTTATTTTTTATAATGTTATTTTTTATAATAAGAAGGTATTAAAGAATATTATTTATTATTTTTATTAATTTTTATTTTTGGTTATTTTTCTTTAATATAATAATATGTTCTATATATTAAATATAGAACTAGAAAATAAATTAAAATATAGAACTTATTATAAGGTATTATAATAACATTATACTTTTTCATAAACTTTTATAATTTTCATCTTTCTTTTTCTTTTGTAATAAATTCATTAATAGAATTGAAAGCATGATAGTGCTGATAATGTTGGACGATGTGAAAATATGGGTCATATTATGTAATTGATACGAATATAATATATGTGTATAGAAATATAAAATAAAAACAAGTACGATAAAAATGTTACATTATGCTGCGATAAGTTATCAAATATGCTAACGTACTACGTCGCATATGCGTAACATAATCTCGACCTAAACACATAACGATAAATTAATATTAATAAAACTTAATTTATAATGAATTTTACTATTATATTTGCGAAATTAAATTTAACGAAAAAACAATTTTTTTTAATGGATTTAAAACTTGCTTTTTAAAATCTTTAAATGCATTGTAAGAATCGCCCTTTTAAAATGCATTTAAAAATTGCTCTTAAAGAATGCAGTTAAACTGTTTTTAAAAAAAGTAGTTAAACTGCATTTTAATTAAAGTTAGCGTGTATTTTGCCTATCTTGTATCTAATATGCGTTTAAAATATATATATATATCTGAATATGTAATCTTATCGTTAGTGAGAGACATGCTCGGCATGTCTACGCAATATGAATGCATTAGAATAGACGCATAGATTAAACTTTTTTTTTCAACAGGTGAATATCAATTGAAAAGCAAACGTGTGGCAAGATGCAAATTTGGCAAGTCCTGAACGTGTTCCATCGCCTCGTGGAATTGATCGTGAGAGGAACATTATTGTTAATCGCTTACATCAGCGGGCCGGCAGACTCTCAACCACCTATCAAAGATTTAACTCTCCTGCACAGCGCGACTACTTTAGCGTTAAAAATTCGAAACAAACAAGTAAGTCTCTTTTTATTCTCAAACCCTTTGCCGAATCTCTTGAATGTTTGATAAGTTTCGATAGTTTATTTCTGGTAAGTTCCAAGCTATTCGCGTTTATCGATTTTGTAATCTATCTCTCATTTCGAATCATCTAATATCTAATGACAAAATGAAGTTTTATTTCTATATTGTATAACTAATAGCATTATAATGTTTCAATTTAAATATAATAAATCGCAAATCAGAATTTTTATAGAAATATGTTTTCTATCTTCTTGTTTTGTTAATTATTTTATATGTATAAAAAAGATTAGAGATCTCTTCTCTCTCTCTCTCTCTTTCTCTCTCGTAATAATAAAAGTGTCCGGGATGCGTAAGCCTTATCATCTACTTATACGATACATCCACTTATATGGACTTAGGTTGACCACGTAACTGCTTATTATTCACAGTTAACTTCGGAGGAAGTGATATCTTCGTATATAGAAAGAATAAAAGAGATTCAACCGATACTCAACTGTATAGCTGCGGAACGTTTTACGGAGGCTCTTGAAGAAGCGAGAAAATGCGATGAACTATTGAAATCTCAGGACGCCCCGTCCGCAGATTTGTTAGCCAAAGAGAAACCATTGTTTGGTGTACCTTTTACTACCAAGGTAACCTTTATCAATTTCATTAGCTAATAGATATAATAAATTAATGATAACGGGAGATTAGGTTTTTGCTTTTCATATCATCTGTGTTAATATCATAAAATTGAGTGATTATAATCTAAGAAAAGGGAAAATACCTCTTCAATTATTATATTGCAGGACTGTATAAGAGTAGCGAATATGCAACAAACGGCTGGTCTAGTTAAACGAAAGGACATTAGAGCTGATAGAGATGCAGAAGCGATAAAATTAATGAGGTCAGCTGGAGCTATACCTCTAGCATTGACAAATGTCTCGGAGCTGGCTATGTGGTGGGAAAGCAGTAACTGTCTGTTTGGTACTACTAAGAATCCCTACAATACGAGGTACGATATATAACAATCAGCATGATATAGTGTATATCATTGAAAATACAATTATTTGTTGAGATTTTAATTATCGAAAAAATATAATCGCTCGAGTAAATCAATCTTTTCAAGTACAGAATATAGTGAGCAGAATCGTTATAATGATTGATAGTATAAAATATAATTATTGCATTTTTAATTTAATGTTCAATATGTATGTTAATGTATAGACAGCACGATATAATCCAATTTCTTCAATATCTTAATTTGAATTTAAGTGTATGACAAGATTTTTTATTCTCTCACAACTTTTTATTTCATTGTAATTCACTTTCAGACACATTGTAGGCGGTTCTTCGGGTGGCGAAGGCTGTATACAAGCAGCAGCTGGATCGCCGGTTGGAATTGGCTCGGATATTGGCGGCTCTATTCGTATGCCAGCATTCTTCAATGGTATTTTTGGCCATAAGCCATCTAAAGGTGAGGAATATTGAAAACTTGACTAACGCGCATGTTTCTTATTACCGATTTTTCGCGAAAATTATATTGTTATTACAGGAATAGTCTCGAATGATGGTCAATACCCTAGTGCACACAGTGATGACCAAGATCAATTACTCGCCATTGGACCAATGTGTAGATACGCTCAAGATATTACATTAATTCTTAAGATACTCGCAGACAAGAATGCCGACCTACTAAAGCTGAATCAAAAAGTTGACATCTCACAAATCAAGGCAAATTGATTTAACATTTCATAAAAGACAATTAACTTCCCTTTAACCTAATGTTACTTTATACATGCATGCTTTTACAGCGGGAAAACAAGGTTAATAAGTTTATCGTGTAATAAGCCTGAAACGATGTTTCTATACGAATTTAGATCTATTATATGGAGGACGACGGCGGTCAATATTTAATTTCCCCCGTGGATCCAGAAATAAAGGACGCAATGAGAAGAATATTGAACTATTTCGAGAAGGCGCACAAGATTAAGGCCACGAAACTGACTGTAAAGAAATTAAAAAAGGGTATAGCTCTCTGGTTGGCAAATATGACGGCCAAGGATCAGAAGGACTTTTCATACGAGTTAACCAATAGGAATGGCCACATTAATCTTTACTGGGAATTCGTTAAGTGGATATTATGTATGAGCGATCACACTTTGATCGCTCTTATCACTGCCGCATTCGAAAAATGTGGCATGAAGCATGGAAGTGAGGAACATGTTCGTCTTATGCAACAAAGTAAAGATCTTTGTCAGGAATTTAAGGTACGATTAAAAAGCCTTGAAGAGAAATTTATATATAATCAAGATAAATTTTTTGAATGTACTACTATGTTATTTGCGATTTCTTAACACTTTTCATGTTTTTTAGGACATTTTGGGAGAAGATGGTGTGTTCTTATATCCGACCCATCCAACTGCAGCTCCCATGCACCATGAACCGTTGTTCAAGCCATTCAATTTTTCTTACACTGCAATAATTAATGTGTTAGGCCTACCGGCTACGGCTTGTCCGTTAGGCTTAAATAAACAAGGGCTTCCTATTGGGATACAGGTGCGCGTTGATACATTGCACGATATTCTTACATAGAATTATAAAGGTATCGTACTTTAAATAACATATTTTTCTAACCGCACATAGGTCGTAGCGGGACCTCATCAAGATCGTCTGACGCTTGCCGTTGCGGAAGAATTGGAACGAGGTTTCGGAGGTTGGGTACCTCCGGCAATAATAGCTTAACACTATCAGTACTATTATGGACAATAATTCAATGAATGAATGGCATACACATAACGCCTCATCTTACCAAACCCTGCCATCTTTCTCTTGCGAAATATTATACTATTTATATCAAAGATTTTCATATGTATGCGAACACATTATCAAGATCAAGTACAAACTTATATATGAAAGTTATATATATATAACATGCATTTAATATGAAATATATAATTTGTTACATTATTTTATATTCTGTAAGTTTCATGATACAGAGTACACGATATGTTATTATTACTTGCATTTATGTGAAGTTCCAAGAAAATATTTGTATTACAATATCTCTAAATACGAGAATGTGATCTTTCTCAATCTTGTAATCAGTTGTTAATTGGGACTCCTTGATATAATATAACAATTAATGTTGCGATCAATATTGATGTAGCTGATTGTATTGATATGAAGACAGTATTTTACCCGATTTGATATAAAATTGGAACGCCATCGCATATGTGCACTCTTACATGAAAAAAGAAAAAAACCTGAAACTTCTTTCAAACCGGATATATATGAAAAAATAGAGTTGTATATAATATAATATAATATTCACTATTGTATATGTAAAATTGCAGTACATATTTATGTATATATGCCTCATAGATTTCTATATAGAATTTTCTATTTTCATACGTGATATATGTAAACTCAGATGGTAGCAGGGTGCTTTTGGTATTATATGATGATAATATGCGCGTTCAATGTTATTTAAAATATGTATTGATGTTGAGAATTTATACACATATATTTTATCTACCAAGAAATAAATTTTTATTATATTATTTCATTTCGCAATTATCTTCTTATGTATATCCATTAATTCCTTTTTCCAGCATTACTCTGTCATATATTTGACCAACTCAAACTATTTTATTAATAAATAATTTCCACAAAACTATACAAATATCGAGATACCTTTCAAAATTAATTAAATATTTTTGTAATTTGTCGATATAATATAAAAGAAAAATGTGCAAATTACCATGCGTTTAAAATATAATTTAAGTGCTTATCTAATGTCACGTCAAAAATTTATAATACTCTTATAGATGCAGTGCATATCAATACACATCTCGAGACATTCTATGAGTGTTTTTAATTTACTCTAATTCCAATAAATACTTTATTGTAAAATACACTACACACATATACACGCATATATGATATATAATTATTGGAAGAACAAGTTTCAATAGTTTTTTAGAAATAGCTCGAGCTTTGTGAGCTAAATAGTAAGAAAATTGTATTTTAATTTATGTAAATTTCATTTAATTCACATAAATATGCTATCTAAAAGTGTCTCTCTATATAAAATATTTCTCGAAAATATAGGTAACATTGTATCAAAGATATTTATCTTGCTGATTTCAAGCAGGATTTTAAATGGGATTGTGAAATTACATTTGTTAATATGTATGACATGTGAATCATAAAATTACATTAAATTCTCATCCATTTCTCAACTCTCTCTCTCTCAACCAAGTTAAAAAAAATAATTAATTTTCGAAACACACACCTTATTCTTATATCTCATAATACGTAGAAATAATTAAGAATAAATATAGCTATTGTTTTTATGTTGTAACCTCTCTGATACCAATTAAATTATTTCAGTAAAATCTGTTCTTATGCGATTTGTAAAACAAATTCCACAGTTTCAACAATTGTCATAATTAAACATGTTTAACGAAAGAATCATAGTAAATTGGAAGCTGAATATGCTACATTCTTTTTCTTATTTTATTCTTCATTCTAACTTCTAAAAAAATGTATTTAATATTTTTAAATATAAAATAAAAAAAAAAGTTCTCAAAATGCATGAAAATACTAGAAGACTTCACAGCGCGCTCTTAATTAATACTCATTCTGAATAATGTGTCAAAATCAGTATAAAAATTTTATATATCGATTTTATCGATGTTCCAGCAAAATGGAACAAGAAAAGCACCGCACCAAATTACATTCTAGGAAATAGTAAATAAGGAAATCCGTTGCTATTACCGATAAAATTACGCTACCCCGAGACTATTCGAGACTGTTATCTACAGACTCATATCGTTTATAAAAAAAAAAGGAAACGATAGAGTCCTATCATTAAGCAATACCTGGATATACAAGAGATCAGCGTTACGTTATGAGATTTGTTTTTTCCGACGGTGCCTCGCTGTTGCCAGTGATAATGAGGGCCTTCCCTTCTAATCTATTATCCAATGAATTATCCTTGCTGCTCTCGCTGCCCGATCTGCTGGGAATGATTTCGAACTCGTTCGAGTTGGCCTCCGCGTCGAGAAACACCAGGTCATTCCTGAACTGATCCGTTCTCTCATCGGAATCATGTCTCTCGTTTCCGTTATTGTCTCGTTTGAGTACCTCAGCACTATTCTCGCAGTTTTTCGTCGCAAGCTCCGTCATTTCTCTTTGTTCATCCGATCGTTTATTTATCACATTTAATTCTACGTCCATTTGCGCCTTTTCGGGAGAAAACTTCGAGAGATTGTTGAAGAATGTTTTATCCGCGCTCATCAAGACGGTCGAGTCGTCGCTCCTTAGATGGTTTCCGTTTGCGGTTTTCGACCCGTTGGTCGGTTTTTGTAGACGCGTACTCTGGTCGGCGAGCTCTTTTTTCTTTTTGGCGGCCGCGGCGATCTCGGCCTCTTTCATCGCCAAGTGGATGACCGGCTCGGCCCATAATCCCGGGCTGAAGGCTGGTCCCGTTCCACCGAGCTCCGCCGGCAAGATGTCCGTTGGCAGGTGATCGTGGAGCGTGCTGAGATTGTTGCCGTGCAGATAGATCTGCAAATAAAAAGATGAACGTTAACGGCTTTTCGCGCTTGACAGTTATCTGATGCGCCTGAACGATGATAATTCATATAACATCTTACACACCCGCAAAGATATCGGTTTTTGCGAAGAGACTCTTATTATTTATGACATCTGTTTCAGATTACGTTACACATTAACGCAAGCAATAAAGATTAATTTTTATTATATTCTCTAAATATCTCCTAGATGGGATAAGAATTGTGAATAATGAATTTTTTAAATTAAATTTTTAAGTGCGGTTGTTACTGTATGCAATTGTGGTGATAAATTTTTGTTACCATTAGATACCATTAAAACATAAAATTTTATCTACAATTGTAATTACACTTCGTGCATTGAAATATGATTATAATCACATAATATATATGTATCCAATCGTATCCAATCGTAATTAAATCATATGACTTTTATATAGCGTTGAAGATAACCCAAAAAAAGGGTCAACGTACGCCATTTATAGTTTTATAATTATTGTTTTAATCAATAAATATTGTTTTTGCGCCCCAAGTACTGCGCGTGGCTCTTTATGCCGTTTATTTCCTTATTCTTAATAATATATGTATATATGTATCTTCGAAATTCATTCGTGCTTGTAATGCCGTGAATCGCCTGTACATGTCTTACCTTATTTCGCGTCTTCTCATCTAGAAATGGCTTCACCAGAGCCAGAGTCGCCTGAACGTACAGGGGCGCTGAAAGGAAGTGTATCGCTTTGAATCGGGCAGGAAATCGCCCACGTAGAGCAGCTATTAGGTTTCGCAAAGCCGCTGCGCCCAGCGCGCTACCCTGCCGTAACGAGAATCCGCTCCAGTCCACCACAATAACAAAACCAGATTGCTGAAAAAAAGTACAAGTCATCGTTGGAGGCATGTGATAGTTCCAGTTTGAAAATAAACATCTAGTCGAGACTGAATGTAGAGGTTCAGTTGAATGAAACACCACCAGTTTTATTACAGTTTTAAATATTTTCTTTTATATATATATTTTTTTTTATATTAATATGTAATTTCTCTTAATATAAGATAAAATAGTTAAAACATATTTAGTATATCTGATCACAAATGATTCACACGGATATATTGGATGATTGCATAAGTTCGTGCCCGATTTTCATAGATGGCATTAAGTTACTGCATGGCGGAGTTCTATTGTTTTCGTGTGGTAATTGTTGCTTACACCGAATAGATGACGTTGTCTTATGTCAATTTAGCGTCAGACATTGTTCAGATAAGTCCATTTGTGCATAAGAGAAATCATTAAAAATGGAGAACGAAAAGGTGCATTTGCGGCATGTAATGTTATATGAATTTCGGAAAGGCGTGAGTGTTGGGATTGCACAAAAAAATATTCAAACCGTTTATTTGGACCGCGCTCCTGCTCTCCGAACAGTCAAAAAGTGGTTTGGCAGATTTCGAAATGGTGATTTCAACATGGAGGATCAACCCCGCTCTGGACGGCCTTCTGGCATTGATGATGACATTGTGCATGCCTTAGTGGAAAGAAACCCAAGGATTACAACTGAGGATATTGCTGAGAGGCTGAACATCGATAATTCAACCGCTTTTCGTCATTTAAAAAAGCTTGGATACGTTTCCAAGCTTGATACATGGGTGCCGCATCTCCTGACTGAAAGGAATAAGCTAAACCGTATGACTGTGGGTCTTTCTCTTCTCGAGCGTAACAAAAAAGAGCCTTTTTTAGATCGAATGGTAACAGGCGATGAAAAGTGGATTCTCTACAAAAACGTACAGCGAAAGAGGACATGGAAAACAGCAGCTGAAGGAGCAGAACCCGTAAGCAAAGGCTGGCTTGCATCCGATGAAGGTGTTGCTGTGTGTTTGGTGGGATCGCAAGGGAATTATTTACTTTGAGCTGCTCCGACGCGGCGAAACAATCACGGCGGACAAGTACTGTGAGCAACTAACTAGACTCGCTGCAGCTATTCGAGAAAAACGTCCGATTTTGGCCAATCGAAAAGGCGTCATCTTCCACCACGACAATGCTAGGCTACACGTCGCTCAACAGACGCTGCGAAAATTGCAGGAGTTGCAATGGGAAATTCTGCAGCACCTGCCATATTCTCCAGATATTGCGCCTTCAGATTTTTATCTGTTCCGGTCTTTGCAGAATAGTTTAAATGGCAAGAATCTCAATTCCGAGGAAGCTGTCGAAAACCACCTTACAAACTTTTTTCAAGAAAAACCAAGTTCTTTCTTCAAAAATGGAATCGACAAGCTTATAGATCGTTGGAAAACCATTGTAGAAAAGAATGGAGACTATATAATTGATTAATAAAAGTGTTATCTCTAAAATATAATCTATTGAAGTTTATATTTAAATCGGGCACGAACTTATGCAATCATCCAATATAATTATTTTTTATCAATTCAATTTCTGATGCAATCCCAACATAGGGAATTCAGATTCAGATATTGGATTGTTTTGAAAATATTACACGACTCAAATCCGGAAGCCAAACCTAAAATATTCATGTACAGCACGAAAACCTCAAATATTAAAGAACGTGAACTATTTTTAGTATTAGATTTTTAGTATTGGCAGTAAATAATAGAACGCAATCTTAATTTATATTTAAATTTTAGAATTTGTTTCTTTTAACGTATGAAAAATATCCCTAACATATCCTATAGAAATCCTTAAGATGTTCCACAGGATCTCCCTGGATTCTCCAGAGGCTAGTGTACGGCTATCATTTACTCTTCCTCAGGACATCCAGAGGAGATCCGAGGATTAAAATAGGATATCCTCAGGATATCCTACATGTATGCCCTGGATGCCCTTTGGACGTCCTAAGGACATCCTTGTGCTGTCTGGGGTATATATATGTGTATATCTCTTTTATTCATATATTTCCGAAATTATTTAATATTCATACTTTACATAATTATTTTACATTAATCCGAATTTATATATTTGTTAAATATATATTTTGATTGAATAAGGTAAGAAGACAATTTTTTTTCAAGTGAAGAATCAAAGTTAAACTTTTGATATTAAATGATAATAGATACTTTTGTTTCTGATATATTTGATAACTTTACACGCATCACAAGATGCGATGATCTGATTTCGATAATTATACTTTATACGATTTTATTTTTACGTACCTACATCCGGCATCTGCCGAAGTACAGCTCTGACAGTCTTAATGGCTAGCTTCTTGTCACGCTTATCGAACCTGCCCCCCTCCTCGTAAATGCTACGTGCCAAGGCGACGCTATTGTGACCACGCGCGGGATCACACCACATATATTCGCAGTACTCGGACATTTCGTTATTTTTTTTTTTGCATACACGTCAATGGTCTGAAACATTGGAATAAATAAGATATTTTTTGTTATACACTTTTTTATTTTAGTATATAAAAAATGTAAAATGATAATTCTTGGACATCGATTTATGTGTATTCTTGAAGTTTTATTATACATTGTATATATGATTATATAATACAGTATATGTATATTATATATATATGTTATAAAACTCTTTTGTGAGGGAGAATTTTTTTAAACAAATGAATATAAGAATAAGCCAAACATTTTTGTTAAATTATTTTGCTTAACATATTTGTAGAGAGATTTTATATGTATATTTGAGATATCTTGAATTATATTTTTTACAATTAAAGATTTAATTAAAATTTTTTAATACAGAAATATCTATCATTTTATACAAGATATTTTATTTATTATTACTATAACTGATAGAAAAAAGACAAACACAAAAACGCAATTATTATTTTCATTCAACAAAGATTTAATAAAAAAAATTTATAAATGTAAATTATATCTATGTATACATTTCGGCAAAATGACAAGAGAATTTATTTCAGTTTTTCGACCAAGTTTAAATCGAGAAGAATAAACTTGAAATAAAAACTAGATCAAGAATGTCATAAAATGAAAAATGCAGTTTATTCTTCTTGAGAGAAGAGAAATATGCGCAGAAAATCATATTTATCTCGATATATTTTAGATTAAATACTTTTAAATTACTAATGATATAAAATTGCGAAAAATGACATCCAATTTATTACACACAAGTGATACATAAGAAGAAACATCACACGAGTGCACATAAAGCGCATGTATGTAACGTTCGATGATTGATTCGCAAAGTGGCCTATCTTGTTGAAAGCCACTCCCACTGAATAAATAAAAAGTAATGCGCGCTTAACCGCGATTTATATCATAAATCACGATAAAAAATGCGACTCAATTGCACTCGCTAAAACTTTCATTTCTCATTTTACTTCCTTCGCGCGAATCCAACAACATTCAGCGCACATTGCACCGGAGAATGATTCATGGGCAACCGTCCTTGTAAGAAGCGCGTGTTGCGCGAGCGGTTCTTTCGACCGGTTCAGGTAATTATTTCGCGAAAGTTTCGCACGACCTTGCAACAGGCGAACGATCGATTTGCGATCCCTTACACTTTCCCAGTCGCTAACTCGTCGGCAATCGAGTTGATTATTTCGAGAAACTAGGAACACACATAGCACTGACGATGAAACATTAAAACAAAAAAAATAAAAATAAATACAAAAAAATTCGATTCCTTCATTTAAATTTAAACAATGAAACTTAAAACTTTTATGTTACTTCCGAAAGGAGTAAAGTAGAAAATTAGCATTCCAAATGCATGTTACCTTAGGAAATGAACTGTTAATTTCTGTTTATTATTAACGCGAAAAGAAGATAAGTTTACAAGCTTACAGCATACAAGATAACAAAAACGTAAATGTATGTATAATATAGCTAATGCTATTACGTCAGATTTATTTCTGTCTCACAATTTGCCGAACCGATAGCCTTATTACCTTGGCAATGCAGTGTACCCCGACACGCACCGATACGCGGATTAAAATCCTATTTAATTACAACGGCAAGGAGATCAAAGAGATTGCATACGATGCAAAACTTCGGCGCAATGAACAATGTAAACGAACGTGAAATATATCAATGTAAAGTAAATAAAAAAGGAAAAAAACACACAATACACTATACTTACGCGAGAGCGCTATATAATCCCGGACAAAGATATCCTTTCTCTCTTTCCATCTTTGATTCTCTCTGTCGCTCCTAATTAGAAACAAGTTGCAATGGAGAAAACACAAGAGGATGGGATGCACCTGCACGTCCGAACAAACCATGCGCGGCTGAGAGGAATTACTCGAACCCGCAGATTTGTTGGAAAGTGTCAGAGCGTTGAGAAACATGAAGAGACGCGGAGCGAGGGAAATCACCGGCAGATTATTACGGTACGAGAAAGGAAAAAAGGAAACGAAACGGGGAAAG